ACTCGCTATCTGTCACTTGGCTGCCAGCGGTGCAACGCAGCACGAAGTCCAACCAGTCATTGTCAGTTAAATGTTGAGAGCTACTCACATTTTAAATGAGACAACGGCGAAACAGCTGCGAGGCCTAAACGACTGGCAGGACCCGGGAGAAAATCGAGAAAATGTATATCAGTCGAAAGCATTGCAATTACTGAAAAGTTATGCAGGTAAATTCTGGAAAGTTCTTTGGGTATAATGTGCTTTAGCCCAATAAATTCTCTACAAACCCACATATTGTATGCATGACACTTTTTCCCCATAAAGATAGTGTGTTGTATTATACAACAAAATTGTATGAGTAAAATTTAACCATACGGATAGGTACGTACCTGTAAAACAAGGTAAACAACTATTTTAAATAGGTAAGTGAATTTTATTGTTGCTTAGGTTACTATTTAATAGTAAAACTGCCATAAAATGGTAAGTTCTATGCATTTTGTTGGTGAAATTGACAGTTCGATGGTTTGATACAGTTAAACTATTATATTGGTCAGCCTTATCTACCAGTTTTTTTGTGTGTAGTACTTACTATAAATATATCTATAGATAACCATATCTTCTTCGTAAAAAGTACCTAATTCAAAATATATTTAGCGCTCTAAAATAATCTTGAATTGATAAGAAGTTGAAATAAGGAAAAGTGAAAAGACTGCCAAAAAAGAATGATTTTTTTAGATTTGCTTAAAAGTTTATATAATCGGCTAAGATACCTTATAATTAAAATAAAATAACAGACTTTTTCTGTGTTGCGATCTTTTTCAAGGAATAACACTGTCAAACAATAATACACAATTCGGGTTACTAGTAGATATTTCTGTAAAATGTCCCCACATGTTCGTAGTCCGTAAGCCAACACATGTGCATATCAGATATTTCGTGTTGCATTTCTCTGTGCTCATCTGCCACTTCCACTGGCCATTAATTTACCGGCCAACAGCAGTGACAGCGGGAACACCCAAGCTGCCCCTTGTGTTACGTTGCGTTACGTTACGTTAGTATCCCCTTTTCGGCGACCCTGTCCTGTCTCCGTGTGGCACTATCTGTTTGGGTCGTAGTCGCACCCCCAAACCCCCTCCTCGAGCCCTTTTCGAGCTGTCAGCCAACAATGCTTTCACTGTCAGAAACAGCAAAGTTGTTGCTGCTGCTGTGCAATTTGTTATACGTTGCAATTGTTGTTGCTGCTGCTGCCGCTGTGGATTTTTATAACAATTTCTACCATATTTCCACTCCACCATAGCGATAGGACGTGGGTTGGGGGCACATAAGGATGGTCACATGTCAACAACAACGATGCATTCTGACAGCCCAATGACATTTTCTACATTTTCGTAAATTGCTTCGATTTGTTTGGGGGCCCTTGTTGTTGTTGCCATCGCGGGTGTGTTTTATGACCGAAAGCAAAATGGGTCCCCATTGCGTTGTGCAATGGCAGCAAGGAAAGGATCTGACATCCACGTGCACCACCCATATGTATTTATATAGATTTTCTATCGACGGCACATTGTTAAACCTTCAAGTTTGCCTTTTTAAGTTAACTTACCATTTTTTCCAATTTGTACTTCCCCATATTTCCATAAACTCTTTCATCAGTTTTATTATCAACGACTTCCTCCCCATTAATGTGTTTATTATAGCCATAAATTCTCATTAAATGTAGATATTTTGTACATTTACTTATACAGTTCTCTTTCATGTTAATTCGATTTGATGGCTTTTTTGAATGCTTATTTTTATAAATTTCAGCTGGCTTCTATAATGATCTACACGCGCCCACCACATTAACCCCATTTGCAAGCGTTTGTTTTGGCTATAAAATATGAGCCAACACGGCACTTAATTCTCAACGAAGCATTCTTTGCAACAGCCCCCTTGCACTGAAATTAAGGCTGTCAAAAGTATGTTGAATGCATTCTATAAATACTCAAATTAATTCCTTAGAAAGCTGAAATACACTGAACTAATTGAAGCTTTGCATTGTTTTGTTACTGACGTTTGTCTATTTTCGTAATACTTTGGTTATTAAGAATATTATCAGTGTACATGTGCAACAATGTTGCCAACAATTGTGTTAAGCAATAGCCTTTGAGGCTGTGAGCTTGTGCCAAATTGAATGGATCATAAAGCAAAGACACAATAAACGCAGCACGCGCGATTAGCAAAATAACTCTTGGATGTCCGAGTACAGTCTCAGTACCTTGCGAAAAGTTCTATTTAATAATAATATTTATGCATGGCCAGGCCGTCAGACTAATTGACTCATAAATTAGCCAAAGGACGGCGAACCCCCTGCCCTGCACCCCTGATCCTCCAACGTTTTCTCTTTTATAAAATCTTGACAAATTCACCCGCATGTCTGTGACACTTGGACATCAAGCACGGGGTCTGAGAAATCATGATGGGAACTGCGACAGACAGTGACACAAAGTGCATTTGACAAATGACATTTCACAGACTGCCAGACACACACAATCCCGGGGTGGATATTCAGGGGCGGGCAGTAAGAGGGGGGTTGGGGGAAGGCCCACATTCTGGGGGCCCATCAAAACCAAAGTGTTTTTAAGTGAATTAGTTTCCTCTGATTTTTTCCTGTAAGTGCTCTATATTGGGGTAGCTTGATTACAGAAGAATCGGGCTTAACATAATTAAATTTATTGTGCCTTTTAGGATTTCCCATATCGTGAGTAGATCCCATTAATTGATTTATGAAATCCTAAGATAAAATCGACACATGCTTAACCATAATTTATTGCCTGCGTTGGCTTATAGGGCATTTAATATTCGCTCATTATATTTCTACTCGCTATGGGTGCTTACAAGTACTTTGGTATATTTCTTATTTTTATAAAGTTTTCGGTTTCTTTTTTTATAAGCTTTTCGCCGTTCAGCGATTCGCATTGCCATCACCGTCTTCTTCTTCGCCCAAAAGAAGATCTCAATTTCCACTTCAATTTGTCTGCTGTCACTGGTAATTGAGTTCAATTTACAATAATATGCTCTGACGTCCGTGCGGCTGAGCGCCAGCTGGGAGGCTGGGACATCCAACCCGATGGAGCGGGTGGTGTGGCAAGTGTACGGATGTCTTGCGATTGCAATTTGTACCCGCTGACTGCGGACTGCGGACTCCCGACTCCATAATACATGCCCCGATCCCAACCGAGAGACCCCCGACCCCTGGTACTCTGGAGTCAGCGCGGCATCTCTTTTGGGGGTCAGTGGCGTTGGACAGGGGGTTCAACAGTTTCCAATTGTGGGGGCGTGACTGCTAGGGGGATGGAATGGATATTGTAATTGATGGCCCGGATATTGATGAGGTTTGCATTAATGGAACAGTTGTGCCATTCAATGGGAGTCTTCAATCCTAAATTCACATTTTCTCTTGTCTTGTAAACAATCTTATGATAGAGACTGCCCAAGTCTTTAGTTATATGTATAAAACCTAAGGAGGTTGATGTTTGTTATAGAAATGTTCCCCTTAATTGGCTAAGTTCGATAAATAAATAAATAATCGTATATTCCGTAGTCTTTATTTCTGTTTTATTTAAACATACTCATTTTCCAAAGTTTATTTTTTGAATACCTAAAACCTTTTGGCTTTAATAATCTTTCGTTTTTATTTTTCTTTCAGTTAAGTTATGCTAGTATTACATATGTACATTACTTAATTCCAATTGTGTTATTTCTCAGCCACTCTTTCATAAATAAGAAAAGCTTAGTGCATTTACAATGTAACGTTTCCTGAACACCAAATAATAAACCCTTTGTTATCTCATAGTCATTGGCAACTTCACTGAGTGGGTACAATTTTTGCAAACTTTTCAAATAAAGCCAAAGAAACTACAAAGACCTTGGCAAAGGGGTTGGGGAATGGGGCTGCTAAGCTGGTTTCGGGTTCATGCATAGAGCATAATAAATCTTTTTAACGAAAACAATAAATCGCATTTCACGCATACTCTAACACGGGGCCAAGCACACAGATACCAGAGGGGAGCCAAAAATAATAATGGCAAGACCTAGAAACGGCTGAGAAAAGAGAAGCCAAAGTGAGCCCGGCTAAGAGCAGCGAAGGTAAACCCTTTGGCCCGAAGAAAATTTTAGAATTTATGCATTGGGTGGAGGAATTCTCGCCGAGAGACAACGAAAACCCATGGGCCAAGTAATTTCTCACTGTGAAGCAGACAAAGAGTTTCCCCTTTAGAAAATAAAACACTTAGTGCAATTTTCATACTCTGTAAAGATTTTTTAGATGTATGTCGAGACACTGGACTATCTTTGAAATAATAAAACGATAAAAATATATAATTATCTTTAAAATGTAACGTTTTTAAGAGATTAAGGATCCTTACTTATATATTTAATGAGCTATAAAACCAATTATGTAAACAACAATAACTTTTCTGTTGAAAATGTTAGTTTATAGTAATGTTGTAATACTCAATAAACATTTTTTTAAAAATATATGTTTCTTTTATAATATATTAGGATAAAAAGTGGCGAATATATTTTTCTACCTTGAGCTATTTCTCGGCTAGGTACACGGTATTCCAAAAGAGTAACTCCTGTCATTTGGGGTTTTACCTTGCCAAGTGCGGCAGTTAGCCAGTGTGAGTGTGATTACACCTACTTGAAGTCATATATCTTTCACTTTGCGCTTTCAACAGTTTGTGACGTCGTCTACGTCTCCGTCTACACATTTATCCTCCACTCCACTCGAGGGGGCGGTTAACAAAAGCTCTTTGATATACCGCCAGCAACTCGACGCGACTCGACTTTCGAGACATGCTACCAACACTCGAGCCCTGTATATATACCATATACCATACCATACTATACCCTCGCCTCATTTGCTGCTGCCTCTGCCCGAAAAGCTCAGAAGTGGGCATGTCAGCGAAAATCACCGTAAATTTTCCGCATTGTTTAAAATTTATTACACTTTCAGATTTGCCAACGAACCGCACCGAACGTGAAGCGAAAGATGCCTGACTGGGGGGTGTTGGTGTTGAGGTTGATGAGGAAGTCGTTCGGGGCACGCCCTTTGTTTGCCGGGGTTTCTCCGGGTCCGCCTGCTATCTCTGACATGTTGCTGTCTAATAAGTGTAACCAGTAATTTTCTTATCACTTAACCCGGCTCATGTGGCTCCCGTACGCAGCAACATTGGGCCTTGCTTGAATGTTTTAATATTTAAAAACAATTTAATGATAGTCCATAATGTTAAAACGTTTATAAAAATTATAAAACATTTAAGAGTAATTTTAAGTCTTATCAGCACTTATGACCTAAAAGCTAGTGTTCCATAATTATGAAAATTGGGCACCATTATTACTTCATATAAATATTCCGATCACTTATTTTACCTACAACTGTATGGTATATTATTTGTTGATAGCAATTACTTATATTCTCCGAAGTCTGCTGCTCCACAGTTTTTTTGAAATGAGCATCGGATATAAATATATACACTCAGTGGTGATTATGGGGATCCTTTGTTTTATCACGGAAGTAAGCAGATAACAAAAAATTAATTGTTTAAATGAATTAATTTATTATTTTAGATCGCCTCTAATGTAGAGTTTACCAACATCAAATGTACTTCAGCCGACGTTAAATTTGTTAATTATGAAGTCTGCCGTTTAAAATCTGTGAACAGGACCTACAAATATGTTTCTGTAAAATCGCGACTTTTTAAGTTACCGATTACTAATGCCACAGTTCGTATAAAAACCATTTACATCAATATATGCACTCATATAAATATCCTCATTATAGATAAACATATCAGTGTTCAAGCGATTAAATGGTTATAAACCTTTTCTGTATAATGTTTCTGTGGATGCCTGTCGATTTTTGCAAGTACAAAAATCCAACTCTGTCGTGAAATATCTCTTCAACTTATTCCTCACTCATTCAAATGTAAAAAACCCAAATTGTCCTTTCAATGTAAGTAACCTCACAAATCCTTTCAAGCCCAAATCAAAATAATTTATTTAGCAGGCCTATGTTACTGTGGACAAACTTACTACCAACTTTCTGAATAACCAGTTCACAAATGTTTTACCAGTTCCCGAAGGCGACTACCTTTTTGTATTCAAATGGTTCTCTGAAAATATTTATCGTTCTTCGGTAAAAGTGTATTCAACAATTTCGTGAGAGCTAGCGGACACTCGAAGTATTTTCCCGATTGGACTTAAGCTTAAATACCTTTTTAAAATGTAAGCATACATTTTCTAAATTTAAATTGTGTCTGAAAAATTAAAAAAAACTCGAATAGAATATTTAATAGAGCAATTAAAAATAATTTGAAGTTTAATGTTTATAAACACACATAATAGAACATTGAAAAGTAATTAAAGGTTTTATCAGCTTACATAACAGAAACTATCTTTAAAGTTAATTTAATAACTATGGATAATTACGATGGACTCCTATTTTTAGAGATATAGAGAATAACCGCAGTTGGATTTTAAAATCAGAACGAATTGATCGTTTTAAGATAAACCCCATTTTAGGAATTTTCAAGTATATTTAATCAAAGCTATTAACCCATTAAATAGTTATTTTTGGTCTTTATCAACCCATGAAATAAACAATATTGTCTGTTAACTTAGCTTTCCGCAATAGCTATAACTTATATTCTCCGCAGTCTGCTGCTTCACTGTTTTTTTGAAATGAGCATCGCTAATAAATATATACAGTCAGTGGTGATTATGGCGATCCTTTGTTTTATCACGGAAGTAAGCAGGTACCAAAAAATGAATTGTTTAAATTAATTTATTTATTATTTTAGATCGCCTCTACTGTGGAGTTTACCAACGTCAAATGCACTTCAGCCGACGTTAAATTTATTAATTATGAAGTCTGCCGTTTAAAATCTGTGAACAGGACCTACAAATATGTTTCTATAAAATTGAGACTTTACAAGCTACCGATTACTAATGCCACAGTTCGTATAAAAACCATTTACATCAATATATGCACTCATATAAATATCCTCATTATAGATAAACATATCAGTGTTCAAGCGATTAAATGGCTATAAACCTTTTCTGTATAATGTTTCTGTGGATGCCTGTCGATTTTTGCAAATACAAAAATCCAACCCTGTCGTGAAATATCTTTTCAACTTATTTCTCACGCAATCAAATGTAAAACTCCCAGGTTGTCCTTTCAATGTAAGTAACCTCACGAATCCTTTCAAGCCCAAATCAAAATAATTTATTTAGCAGGACTATATTACTGTGGATAAAGTTACTACCAACTTTCTAAATAACCAGTTCACAAATGTTCTACCAGTTCCAGAAGGCGACTACCTTTTTGCATTCAAATGGTTCTCTGAAAATATTTATCGTTCTTCGGTAAAAGTGTATTCAACAATTTCGTGAGAGCTAGCGTACACTCTAAGTATTTTCCCGATTGTACTTAAGCTTAAATACCCTTTTAAAATTTTCTTTTAAATTTTCTAAATTTAAATTGTGTCTGAAAAATTAATAAAAACTGGAATAGAATATTTAATAGAGCAATTAAAAATAATTTGAAGTTTAATGTTTATAAACACAAATAATAGAACATTGAAAAGTAATTAAAGGTTTTATCAGCTTACATTACAGAAAATGTCATTAAAGTTATTTTAATAACTGTGTATAATTACGATGGACTCCTATTTTTAGAGAACTAGAGAGTAACCGCAGTTGAATTTTAAAATCTGAACGAATTGATCGTTTTGAAATAAACCCTATTTTAGGAATTTTCAATTATATTTAATCAAAGCTATCAACCCATGAAATAGACAATATTGTCTGTTAACTTAGTTTTCCGCAATAGACTGATTCATTGTCATTTGATATGGGCTCCGGATTTATTCAATCAGTGGTGATCGTTGTGATCCTTTGTGTCATTACAGAAGTAAGAGGAGTTAATTTAAATATCAGGGCAACCAAAAACACAAGAGTAAAAATTTCTATTATTCCATGTATTAGATCTCCTCTAAAGTGGAGTTCACGAACATCAATTGCACTTCCCATGACCTTGAGTATAATATCTTTGAGGAGTGCTTTATAAAATCGGTGAATAGATCCTACAAATTTATCACCGTAAAATCAAGAATGCTTCAATTACCCATTACCAATGCAACAGTGGGTATTTAGATGTTTTTTATATCATTACATTTATAATTTTTATTAAAAACTTTTAATTTAGATCAAAATAGCACTTTTAAAGCGATTAAGTGGCTATAAGCCATTCCTCTACAATGTTTCTGTTGATGCCTGCAAATTTTTAAAGACGCGAAAATCGAACCCTGTCCATAAATATCTTCTAGACTTGTTTATTAGTCACTCAAATATAAATGGAACTTGTCCATATCATGTAAGTATGCCAAGATGTAAGATAACACTTAGATAATAATATCAATATTAATTCCGTCAGAAGCCGTACATGATTGTGGAAAAGCTTACAACCAACTTTTTGAATAATCAGTTGACAAAAGTTTTGCCATTTCCTGAAGGAAATTACCTAATGGAATCCAAATGGATCACTGATAACATACATCGATCTTCGGTTAACGTATATGTAAGCATTTTTTCCTAAGCGGTGTGCAAATTTGTAACACTCATGTTTTAATTGTTTTGACAATCGGTTTTACAAGGGGGTTAATTTAACCCTTTTACATAAATTATTATTTTACAAGGGGATAATTAAGCCCTGTTACATAAGTTATAAATTACTTTACTTTAGCTTACATGTTTTTAATTGTTTAAATGTTTGAAAAATGTGTTGTGGCACTCAAATAGTTCTTCTACTATAAAAATATGAAAAAAACCGCCGCTTTTAAGCATTTTTAATGGCGTAACTTGTTTCCAATTATTTGTTTACTTAATTTACGCAAAAATTTTACAATGCCTTGCTAGCACTTCCTGGTCAGGCTTCTGCATCAATTAATAATTTCTTCAACAAAATAAAGCTATTTTAAGTGATAAATTTACATATCGGAAACATAAATATTAAACTAAATACTAATGCCCTAACGTTATCCCATAAGCCGGCAGATTATAATTTATGCATAATTTTCGGCTAATCCATATTTCATGTCGGACAACTGCATTGGCTTGTGGACAAACTCTGCGCTATCAAAAACATCCTGTTTTTGCGGAAAGCCCATTTATAAAATATATAGAGCCATGGCTATGTGTGTCTAATAGATACGGGTAAACAAAAAAAAAAGCTAAGCCAGAACCAAACTGGAATTTCGAGTCTAAGCTCTGACTGCATCCGCTTGTAAATCATATTAAAATATTTATGCTGCCGCCCCGATGTTTCCCCTGTTGTTGCATTATTTTTTTGCCGTTCGGTTTTCACATTTTGTTGTGCCACCGATAAATTGTGAACAAATGACATTATGCACATGTGCCCCGGTATCTGAGTGTGTGTGTGTGCGGTTTATTTAGTGCATTTAGATAAAGCGAGCGAAAATGTCAACTTTTTCGACTATTTTTCGTGTTCGTAAGTTTGTCGGGACTGACACTGCCACACGGCCATACTGCTACTGCAACTGGCTGCAATTATCGTGCAACAAATCATGGCAACAGTGGTTATTGTTGCTGCCGCCGCTGTAGTTTATGGCATTAGTTGTGTTAATTTATGTCCCATTTATGAAATATTTACAAATTTTTCAGCTATTATTGCTGCAGAGCAGTTTTCACACACCCCCGTTTGCCACTTTTTGCCTTATCGCCATGCCGCAAAAATAAAACAAAATATTTTGTAAACCATTTTTCAGCTCAATTCTGTGGGGATCGGTTCGGTTCTGTTCGTTTCGGTTGGGTTATTTATTAGATTTTGGGTGCCCGCTCTCTATGACCTCCGCCGGATGTCAAGTCGCAGTTGCTTTTGTTGTTCGACACCGGAGGTTGGGACTTATAATATTTATTAAAATTATGCATACGATTTGGCATTTAATTTATGTAATGACGGTTAAACAGAGAGCTGGTTCCATTGAATGGCTGGACAATGCATGTGTAATTAGTCCCAAAACCAGTGTCTGAATAATTAATAACAATTGGCTGGAATTTAGGCGTTGACTAAATCGATAGGAGAGGAATGTACTAAAATATTTTACTACCTGATTTTAAGATGGGATTACGTTAGTTTGACCAATGATATGTTTAATAAAGTAATCGAAATTTTATACAAACAGTTGGTTTTTTATTTTAACGATTGAGCATGTATTGACCATTGTAAATATTAAGACAGACAGAAGACAGAAAAATCCAAGTACATTGTTCTTGAATTTAAAACATTCATTCTTAAAATGTTCTTAATTTTAACTGAATCTTCTTAATTCAAGATCGAAATGTGGGAACTATAAATATAAAACAAGTTGATTTCGTTCCATTTTCAAGTTCATTTCGGTCTGAACTCAAGAACATTTTGAAATACAAATCTTTCAAATTCAACCATATTGAGAACATTTTGAACTCAAAAAATGTCGTTCTATATTTCAGAACATTTTTAGCTTAGTTAAGAACGTCAGAATTCTTCCTGTGTAGGTAAATCTCATTACAAGGTAAACAATATTTATTTTCTTATAAGTGAATGCATTATTTTGGACAATGAAATGCGACCTTACAATCCTATCGTAAATAACTCGAGAATTTTGGTTTCTGAAGTACCCAAAACTCCACTCACTTTACTATCGATTTCTCAATACACAATACACAAAACACATTTTCCAATTTATCTTCCATCGCAACTTATCAACCATTGACCAAGTCCGTACTTGGCGAGACCAGACCCAATGTCACAACAATCTCCAATCGATTCCCAGCACAATTGCAGTTGATTAAGATGCTGATGGTGCCCCCTGGCCAACTCGATTCCCCCATTTGCTGGGTGTTGTGTAAATGTTTGTGTTATTGATTAATTACATTTACAACAATCAAAGTTCATTGAGTGATACCAATCAAAACAACGCCAGCGAACAACGAACAACATTGGCTGCAGTGCGATGCAATGAATCTTCAAGTTGAAGTGGCGGGGCCAAATGGACATGGAGCGATCGGAATGGCTGGCTGAATGACTGAGTGACTGATTGACTGAATGACTGACTGAGTGACTGAGTGAGTGACTGAAAGAGCGGAGAACATGTCTAATGTGGTGTTGCCCCTTGCTGGCTGATTGCTGCATGTTCGGCTTGTCGCTGCTTGTAAGGCATTTGTCTGTTTTGGGCTCCGCGTTGCTTTGATCTTATTTCTTTCTCCTATTTTTTTCTGTTTTTTTGATCTTCACTCGCTTTGATTGATCAATTAAATTCATTTGTAAACAACTTCTTGCCGACGATGACGCGGCATAAAGAGCACAGATGTATTCCCCATCGGAGGAAGACGGCGTCCTCAAAGAGCGGCCAAGATATATTTGGTTTGGTTTCTATTTTTACGCGGGAGTCGGTCGATCTGCGGGTCGGTTAAAACCACAACAAACATATCCCGCTGATAATAATTACCAGATGATTTGGCCTATCCGGATAAATTGGTTTTGAGGTTGCAGCTTGTAACAGGAATTTTTAAATTTGATTGATGCACTTTCAATGATTTAGTCTAGAAAATTAAAAAGTATCTTTAGCATACTATGTGTAAATTTATTTTTAGAAGGCTTCGTAAATTAAGTGTGTTTCTCCTTGATTTTCCCAGCAATTTCTGCCACTGTGCTGGCCATGTACTGCAAGTTTATCGTACATTTTTATAGCTGTCAGTGCGTTGGCTGTCAAGTGTCAAAAACATTTGCAGCTTGCAACGCGCCAAATGCAAAATGCAAATGCACTTACGAACGTCTCTCGCCAAATGCCTGACAATGACAGGCCAACAGAAGAAAATACAGAGATACACCAACATACCTATACAAAAAATGTACGTATGTACTGGCTCGACGGATTCGCATTGTTCGCCAGATATGTATTACACAAGTCACAGGCAGTCAGCATAACAGCAGTTGGGTTTACAATAGTTCCTCGTGCTCGAGCAGGGGCACACACATGACTAACCAACCAACCAACTGACTGACTGACTGACTGACTAACTGACTGAGTGAACGTATAGTAATGATGATAATGACGGTGCCGCGGGGGGGGGATGCTCTGACATTGCCTGACGCCTTGATTAAACTGTCATTTAACTTCATTTATTTTGACATAAAACTGACAAGAGACCCCCATTCTAAGTGGCAGCTTATTCAATTTTGCACACCCGTCAGCCAACAAAGAGTATTCAATAAAATAATATTGAATAATATTTATTAGGTAGTCACAGTCGCATACGAATTCAATATGCAATCGCAATCCCCGATGCGGTCATCAGAGATTGCATATTCAGATGGGTTACCCGATCGCAAAGTAACAAATCAATTCCACTCATCCGCAAGTCAGCCCAAGTGGAGGCATCTCATTTATGCTAAATAACAAGTGATTAAAGTTCGTTTTGCGCCGATATAAAGCTGTCACTAAACATAAATTACAATATGTCAGTCTCGAGAACCTTTGACTTTTATTAATGTAAACATGAAAAGCAACACGCACGCCGAACCTCCGAACGAGCGCACAACAGCTACAACATGCTGACACTGAAAGCCGAGATAAGTTACCCAGGCACACACACTGGGTCTTGAGACCCCGTCTCAGAGTCCCAGACCCAGTCCCAGTCCCAGTTCCAGTCCCAGACCCGAAGCCCCAACTCCCAGACCGAGCTCCACTTGGCAACCAACGCTGACAGGCAAAAGTTTTGTCCGAGAGTCGAGCTCTGTGTTTCTTATTAAAGAAACCGATGCGCAGCAGCGCAAAGAAGATGCAACACTTGAGGCTAGGAGTTTGATTATGGTATAACCGCGTACAGGCTTTACCTCAAATGTTGTAAATAGTTCAAAATTATCCAGAGGTAACAAAAAAAATAATTTTAAATAAGTTGATGTATATAAATGATTACAAAAATAAATAAAATTTTTTTTATATCTTTTTTAAATTAAAAAAGAATAAATTTTAGACCTTACCAATTTGGAAAGATCTTCTAAAATATATCACAAGTATTGACCAAATTTTTGCCACCCTTCTATTCTTTAACTAAATCAAGGTCAAGTGTCGTCTACGATTTAAAGAAAATGTCAGTCGCGATTGTAACACCTAGAAAAGGAGAAAAGTGCATACGATGCATACAACGCTAGAATCGGTTGGAAACTATAACGTCGGGAGCATAATATACTTCGATTCTTAATTAAGTAAAATTATGTCAGTTCAGAAAATGTTTTAGCTTTGAAAAACTGTTTCTAAAAAGTAAACTTGTTTAAAAGTGGTTAAAAAATACATGACTAAGATAAGTAGATTGGAATAAATGGGTAAATTCCCAAGTCATACAAGAGGTAAAACAAAGTACATTTGATCTACATTCTAGAAAGATTAGACCTACATTCTACATAGAACTTTCAAGACTGAACTTGAACTGACTATAGAACTGGCTTCTGCACTCCGATTGTGACCACATTTTTCACCTTTGCAGGTTGTACTGTACTTACCGCCCCTCCCTGCTCATTTCGCATTCATCCGGCTA